TCTTCCATGGGTTGATTATCAGTCCCCCAGTCTGGAGCCCAACCTTTCAAACTGAGACGCTTAGAAAGGGAGATGCTGGCAAGGAAACACAAGAAGGAGGCTGCCTCCTTGGGAGACCCATCCTCGCAGTGTACTTGAGGGAGCCTTGCAGGTGGAAAGAGTCATGAAGATGTGTTCTCAGGTGGGGACGAAACAAGTGAGGTGTGCAATGTATGGGTATCAGGATTCTTAACCTCTGACTCTTCGTTTCCTCCTCCACAGATGTATCCTTACTTCTTTGTCGAGAGGAATATACAAGAGCCACCTGACTATCCTAAAAAACCTTCAAACCGTGTGACTAGAGCAAACCCCTCTGAAGTGCTGAAGTGGGTCTTGCCAGTGGTAGTAGGACTTAGCCTACTAATTGTAGTGAGTGTGATTATAGTTTGGAAATTTTTTAGAGGTTGATTCCACTGAGCGTGAACACTGTGGGCTTCTAGGCATGCAGGTTCTCACCTTAAACTCCCCAGCTACCTCAGCCACCCTTGGCCACCATGGAATCGCTTCTTCAATAGATAGTAGTTATGGGACGTCAAAGGGGACACACATAACTCCCTGGGAGTTGGGTACTGTATTTCTGAAATTGGCAAATTTAAATAAAGGCTAACAGGCATTCTATTCTTGAACTAGCTTCCTTGAAGCGCTTGCTTTCCATCTGTTGTGTGACTCAGGTGTGGGTGCTGGATGCCTTTGGTGTCCTGGCTCAGCCACTCGGCCACTCGGAGCAGGGACAGCACCCCCTGGGCCCATGTCAGTTCCATGAGGAGCTGTGCTCAGTTACAAGGCCACTCTTGTAAAGGGAGGAAATACTCTGGTCACCAGGTGATTACTAAGAAATTGAAGAATTTTTATCAACTTCTTCCATTTAAAATTGATCACATATGCAATCAATATGCATAGATCACTATTGGCAATTGCAATGAAAAAGTTGGGGAAAAAAGAGGAAGGGACTACAGTTGTCAAATAAGGTCTTGGCAATAGAAATGAAACTGGATCATATGATATAATTTTGCAAGACCAACAACTTTTTCAATGTACATACATTTCTTCAAAAACACAAATGGTACTGCACATGTAAACCTCTCCCGGTGGAATACAGAGAAGTCTAATTGACTACATCTGCGGGAAGAAATGATGGAGAAGCTCTATATCAGCAGTTAAAATGAGGCTAGGAGTTGACTGTGGAGCAGACCATGAATTGCCCTGTGCATCAAATCTGTTCTTGAGATCTTTTCAAAATTCCAATGTTATCAATTTTAAACTGAAGAAGTTGATAGCCTTCTTCAATTTCTTAGTAATCAAACAGCCTGATACTGGTACAATGATAGATATGAAGACCAATGGACTGGAATTGAGAACCCAAAAATTCCGCTAATGTACCTGTAGACATTTAATCTTTCATAAGGGACTTAAATGGGGAAGACACAGCCTTTGAACAAATGGTGCTGGAGAAATGGATCTTGACCTATAAAAAAAAATAACCAGGACCCATACCTCACACCATGAATGAGAACAAAGTTAAGATGGATCAAGGACCTTTAATATAAACCATGCTATTATAAAGGCCATTAAGGACAAGATGGGGACACATTTAACGACCCTAATGCAAAGCATAACACTATCGAACATAATGAAAAAATATCCTCAATATAGGAGACAAAGTAAGAAGGGGGCCCTACTGAAAATATGATGTCTATGCACAGCAAAAGACTGCATCAGAAGAGTCAACAGAGAACCCACAGATTAGGGAAAAAAATACTCAGTCATAATATATCAAATAAAAGGCTAATTTATAAAATCCACAGAAAGCATCGTCTTAACAGGGAAAAAAATACCAATAATCCAATCTTACGGTGATAAATATTTAAAAGCACCATTATTACAAGGAAACACAAAGAAAAAGAAAATGGTTTATACACCAAAAGGCAAGACTGGTGACTATGAGGCGGCCAGGGATGGGGGAAGGAACAAGGAGAGGGGAGGGAGAGTATGTTGAGTATATAAGCTGTGTTTCTTTAAAAACCAAAAGGGGAAAAAAAATCTCTCCAGACTCCTTATCCCTCAAACCTAAA